CTTGGGTGAGAAGTGAAATGTCTTTGAAGAAGAGCCAAAGAAGATCCTTGGACAAGAAGCGAAACGTCTTCGAAGAAGAGCTGAAGAAGCTTTTTGGACGAGAAGTGAAACATCTTTGAAGAAGAGCCGAAGAAGCTTCTTGGGTGAGAAGTGAAATGTCTTTGAAGAAGAGCCAAAGAAGATCCTTGGACAAGAAGCGAAACGTCTTCGAAGAAGAGCTGAAGAAGCTTTTTGGACGAGAAGTGAAACATCTTTGAAGAAGAGCTGAAGAAGCTTCTTGGGTGAGAAGTGAAACGTCTTTGAAGGAGAGCCAAAGAAGATCCTTGGACATGAAGCGAAATGTCTTTGAAGAAGAGCCGAAAAAGATCCTTGGACGAGAAGCAAAACGTCTTTGAAGAAGAGCCGAAGAAGCTTCTTGGACGAGAAGCAAAACGTCTTTGAAGAAGAGCTGAAGAAGCTTCTTGGACGAGAAGCAAAACATTTTCGAAGAAGAGCCGAAGAAGCTTCTTGAACGTGAAGCGAAACCTCTTTGAAGAAGAGCCGAAGAAGCTTCTTGAACGGGAAGCAAAACGCCTTCGAAGAAGAGCCAAAGAAACTTCTTGGACGAGAAGCGAAACGTCTTCAAAGGAAAACAAGACAGTCCAGTTCCCTCCTGAAAAAGCACCTTTGGGTTTAATCTTGGGCGTTGAATCTGAGCCTTGCAGCGTGCTCAACAGCCTCTCCATCTGGAACTGCTTAACCATCGCAGGGCCTTCTCTCCACACGTTCTGCTGGAAGGCAGCTCTACTCGGTCCCTCCTTGAGAAGCACGGCTGCCTGCCTGCCTGTGTTTCAAAGCAACCGAGCGTGCGTGTGCTGCACAGCTGCCGTGTAATAAGCCCATTATGCCTGTAGTAAAACCGGAGCCAATTTCATCTTGCCAGTTAAGCTGCCGGGTTTCAAAAAAAGAGTAACCGGAGTTCTCCTTCGGCTATTGGCTGAAAGCCAGCTGGGTGACCTTGGGCCGGTCACTTTTGTCAGCCCTGGGAAGATAGCCAGGGGCCAACAAAGCACTTCTGAAAACACCGCCAAGATAACCGGGTGGTCCTGTTCATGTAGTCGCTAGGAGTCAAGTCTGTCTTGAAGGCAAACAAAGAAATCAAAAAGCCCTTCTTTGGACAGGCAGCGTGCTATTACTGTGTCTCATGCAGTCAAATTTTGGTTTTTACAGATAGTCCTTGACTCACAGCAGTTCATTTAGTGACCGTTCAAAGTTAACGGCACTGAAAAAAAGGGACTTACAACCATTTTTCACCATTGCGGGTCCCCAGGGTCACGTGATCAAAATTCAGACGCTTGGCAACTGACTCACATTTATGACGGTTGCAGTGTTCCGGGGTCAAGTGATCCCCTTTTGCGACTTTTTGGCGGCCAGATTCACTTAACAACAGTTTTGTTCATTTAACAACTGCTGTGATTCATTTAACAGTTGTGGCCAGGAAGGTCATAAAATGGGGCCACGTTTACTGAACAACTGTCTCACTTGGCAACACAAATGTTGGGCTCAGTTACGGTCATAAGTCGAGGACTAATTGTATAGTGCAGGAAAAGTACCGTATATGCCAGCGTACAAGGCGACCCGGCGTATAAGACGACCCCCGTCTTTGTTGCCGAGTCGCATTCCTAGAACGTTGTCTTATACGCCGGAAACTACCAGTATTTCCGGCGTATAAGACGACCCCCGTCTTTGGTGCCGATTTTAACGCTTGCGGAAGTGGCCTTATACGCCGGCATATACGGTAAGTGGACATTCCCAAAACTAATGGTCCAGGTCTCTCTCTCTCTCCAATTTGTACCACAAAACCCCTCAGTGCTTTTATCTTTCCGTGTTATTATGTAACGTATTATTTGCAATATGTGGGACGTTTTATCTTTTTGTAAATTAAATTGTTGGCCTCTGAGCTGAAATGGAATTAATTCTAAATTATCTGAATGGAAAGCATCTACCTTAAAGCTTTGAGTTTTGGAATTCAAATCTTTGGAAAATGATTTAAGCAAGTGCTTATTGAGCATGTAGCTTTTACCGCTCTATTTATTAACTGTTCGGGGTTAAATAATTGATACTGTCCTTGGACTGAAATAAAATATAGCAGCTGAACATTGTGTGGCTTTTAGGAAACAATACAGCCTGCTACTGGGTTTGCTTAAGCTGTTCCCTGTGTTTGCAGACTTCACTCTTTTATTCAGGTCTGACCATATTTTTTAAATATATAGTTGGCCTCTAGATCAGAGGTCCCCAACCTTTTGGGCACCAGGGACCAGTTCTGTGGAGAGAGGTTTTTTCCGTGGACCGGAGAGTGCGTTGTTTTGTGTGCTGCCTGTATCTCACAGATGGGGCTTTGCTTGTTTGTGTGGCCCGGTTGATGGCCTGCTGTGGCCCGGTACCGGTCCACGGACCGGGGGTTGGAGACCTCTGCTCTATCTGCTTTGGCTCTCCGAGGAGTTTTTAACACACCTGCAGAGTGTCAAGGGAAAGAGGCCAATGTGTATTGAGATCGAGGATTGCCCTCCATCCCCCCCCCCAAGACTTTGGGACTACAAACAGGATTGAGTAATATCCCTGCCCTGCCTGGCTTGGGGGAACCTCCTCTATCGCCTTGATGGCTAGTAGATGCTGTATAGCGTCCTCCATGAGTCCCCTCTTTACTGGGTTTCTTGTAGCTGGGCAAGACACAAAGTGATTGTATGGAACGGATTTGAACTCCAGGGACAGGCCTTCGCTTATGGTACGCAACACCCAGGAGTCTGTGGTCGTGTTTTCCCACTGGCGAGTAAAGTGAGTGAGCCTGCCGCCAATGGGAGGATTTCCCTCCGAGTCATTTGCCTCGGCGGAAGGACCGACCCCCTCGGCCACGAAAGGAATTTTTGGGTTGTGGCTGGTACCTGGACCTGTCTCTATAACCTGCCCTGTCCAGTGAACACTCCTGTTTGGGAGCGACCGGTCGATACGGTTGTGCCGACTCTGTTGCTGTCCCTGCCCGAAAGGGGTGAACCGTCTTGTGGACCTCTTTGCCACGTGGGAGATTACCTTTTGCTTCTGTTTATTTTCAACTAAGTACGGCGTTAGTGCGTCCCCAAATAATTTGCTACCTTTGAAAGGGGCTGTGGCCGCGCGCCACTTGAGGAATTCTGGGAGTTGAAGTCCACCAGTCTTAAAGTTGCCCAGGTTGAGAACCCCTGTTATAAATCAATATATATAGGTAGCCCTCAATTTACGACCACAGTTAAGCCCAAAATTTCAGCTCCGAAGCCAGACAGTTATTGAGTTTTATCCCATTTTACGGCCGTTCTTGCCAGAGTTGTTAAATGAATCACTGCAGTTGTTAAGTTAGAGACACGGTTGTGAAGTGAATCTGGCTCTCTCGTTGACTTTGCTTGCCAGAAGATCGCAAAAGGGGATCTTTTCTGGGATGCTGCAAACGGTCACAAATATGAGTCGGTGGCCAGCTGTCTTCATTTTGATCACGCGACCACGGGAACGCTGCAACGGTCATCGGTGTGAAGATGGTCATAAGTCACTTTTTTCAGTGCCCTTGTAACTCCCAAGTTGTCATTAAACAAATTGTTGTAAGGTGAAGATGATGATGATGATGATGATGATAATAATAATAAAGTTGAAAGGGACCTTGGAGGTCATCTAGTCCAACCCTATACCATTTCAGACAAGTGGCTATCCAGTCTTCTTCTTAAAAACTTCCAGTGTTGGAGCATTCACAGTTTCAGGAGGCAGGTAGTTCCATTGGTTAATTGTTCTAACTATCAGGAAGTTCTAGGTTGCTTCTCTCCTTGATTAGTCTTCCATCCGTTGCTTCTTGTCCTGCCTACAGGCGCCTTGGAGAATAGAATAATAATAATAATGATGATGATGATGATGATGATATTGGAAGGGACCTTGGAGGTCATCTAGTCCAACCCCCTGCTCAGGCAGGAAACCCTACACCATTTCGGACAAATGGCTGTCTAGTCTCTTCTTAAAAACCTCTAGTGTTGGAGCATTCACCGCTTCTGGAGGCAGGTTGTTCCACTGGTTAATTGTTCTCACTGTCAGGAAGTTTCTCCTTAGTTCTAGGTTGCTTCTCTCCTTGATTAGTTTCCATCCATTGCTTCTTGTCCTGCCTTCAGGCACTTTGGCAAATAGCTTGACTCCCTCTTGTTTGTGGCAGCCCCTGAGATACTGGAGCACTGCTATCATGTCCCCCCTTGTCCTTCTCTTCATTGAGGACTATCTGTATTCAGTGTATTGACATGGAAAGCTATCTGACGTCGTGTCCCAAAGGAGTTTTTCAAAAAGGAACTGAACTTTCTTAGTTTTTTTTTTCTTGAAAACATTTCGATTCTCAATCAAGAAGCTTCTTCAGCTTCTCGGAAGAGTAATAATAAGAAAAAAAAAAAAACCTCAAGAAAGTCCAGTTGCCTTTTGAAAAGCACTTTTGAGACCACCATGACCTGGATCAGTGGTTCTCAATCTTTTTAATGCCGTGACCCCCAACCAGTCGTAAGTCGAGGACTACTCAACCGGTCGTAAGTTGAGGACCACTCAACTGGTGCAGCACCGTTTGCAGAATGGGACTTTTGGCGGACTCAGCAGGGCAGAGACAGCCTGGACAATTCCTATTGGCTTTTGAAAGCCAATAGAATTAGACTCTATTCAAGAGAGTCTATTCTATTGGCTTTCAAAAGCCAATAGAATAAAAGGGAGTAGCACAGCTAAGGAAAAGGGGGGAAAAATGGCGGACTGCGTTGTTTGGTGACCCCCGTGAAATGGTCGTTGGACACCCAACCCACAGGTTGAGAACCACTGACCTGGATGATTGAGAATCTCTAGAGAAACCTGACACCATGTAGCTTTGGGAAAGCTGAGGGTGGGAATGTGTTGGTTAAATGTCATTTTGAAAAAACCAATGAAAGGCTTTGAGTGCTTCCCTTGCGAATAATGACCCTTGGATGCTAACAATCTTTCAGATCTTCCCGGATAACATAATGCCAGCTGAGCGTAAGAAGTCAGCCAGCATGGAAGAAAAAGAAACATCATTAAGTAACAAAGAAAAGGAGTTTGGAGAGAGACGGTCAGCGAGCAGCCGGGACAGAGCCAAGGACGATGTCAGGCTGGGCGTGAAGAGAGAGATGCTAAAGCCAGCTGAAGATAAAAAGAAAAAAGTGGAGGAGGAGAAGCGGAAGAAGGACGACAAGGAGTGGAAGAAGAAAGATGAGGAGAAAATAAAATTGGAAGAGGAACAAAAGAGGAAGGAGGAAGAGGAAAAGCAAAAACTGGAAGAGGAAGAGAAGAAGAAGCAAGAAGAAGAGATGAGGCTGCAGCAGGAAGAAGCAGCTGCCAAGTTGAAGTAAGTCCTCCTTTGTTTCGGGTTACCTGTATTTTGGGAGGAAAAGAGAGGAGGGTCCTGGGAGAAATGTCTTAGGCCCCCACCCCTGTTGTTTCAAACATTTTATCTCCACGTTCATGTTTTCCACCATTCAACCTGAAAAGGTAACGGGTATAGGTTGAAAGCATTTGTTAAAAAGTTTAAAACTCAAAAAGGTTGAGTTTAAAACAGTGGTTCTCAACCTTTTTAATGCCGCGACCCCCAACCGGTCGTAAGTCGAGGACTACTCAACCGGTCGTAAGTCGAGGACTACTCAACTGGTGCAGCACCGTTTGCAGAATGGGACTTTTGGCGGGCTCAGCAGGGCAGAGACAGCCTGGACAATTCCTATTGGCTTTTGAAAGCCAATAGAATTAGACTCTATTCAAGAGAGTCTATTCTATTGGCTTTCAGAAGCCAATAGAATAAAAGGGAGTAGCACAGCTAAGGAAAAGGGGGAAAAAATGGCGGACTGCGTTGTTTGGCGACACCCGTGAAATGGTCGTTCGACCCCAAATGGGGTCCCGACCCACAGGTTGAGAACCGCTGCTTTAAAATGATAATATAGATGTCGTAGTAGAGATTATCTTGGGGAGGAAAAAACTTTCCCATACGAGGGAACTGAGGTTGATTTTTCCAAATGATGTCTACCATTTTTAGGTTAGGGCAGCAGACTGGAAAGCAGGAGATGGTGAGTTCTAGTCCCGCCTTAGCAATGAAAGCCCGCTGGGGGACTTTAGGCCAATCACCAGGAGATAGTGAGTTCTAGTTCCACTGTAGGCATGAAAGCCGGCTGGTGGACTTTGGGTCAGTTACCAGGAGATCGTGAGTTCTAGTTCCACTGTAGGCATGAAAGCCAGCTGGGTGACTTTGGGCCAATCACCAGGAGATGGTGAGTTCTAGTTCCACCTTAGGCATGAAAGCCGGCTGGTGGACTTTGGGCCAATCACCAGGAGACTGAAAGTTCTAGTCTCACCGTAGGCATGAAAGCCGGCTGGGTAACCTTGGACCAGTCCCCATCTCTTAGCCCAGCCCACCTCACAGGGTTGTCACTGTGGGGGAAATAGGAGGAGGAATGTGTGTTGAATAGGTTGACTGCCTTGAGTTACTTGTAAAGATAATAAAGGTGGGATGCCTGTAAATAAATGGGAAGTAAAAATACTATTTTGAACAAATGTTCAGTCCTAGCGTCCTCGTTGGTCTTTACAAAAGGTTTTCTGAAGGCTGAACACCGACTTAAACCTATGAGATTGCCCGTTTATGTCCCTTTTTTCAGAGAGAAAGAAGAAGCCCACCAGCTGCATCAGGAAGCTTGGGAGCGCCACCAAGCCCGGAAGGAGCTTCGAAGCAAGAACCAGAACGCCTCCGAAAACCGTCCAGAAGATAACTTCTTCAGCAGGCTGGACTCCAGCCTCAAGAAGAACACCGCCTTTGTGAAGAAGCTCAAGACCATCACCGAGCAGCAGAGGGACTCCTTATCCCACGACTTTAACGGCCTCAACCTGAGCAAGTACATCGCGGAGGCCGTGGCCGCCATCGTGGAGGCCAAGCTGAAAATCTCCGACGTGAACTGCGCGGTGCACCTCTGCTCGTTGTTTCACCAACGGTACGTCGACTTCGCTCCCTCGCTGCTTCAGGTCTGGAAGAAGCATTTCGAAGCCCGGAAAGAAGAGAAGACGCCCAACATCACGAAACTCAGGACGGACTTGCGCTTCCTTGCCGAGTTGACGATAGTTGGGATTTTCACGGACAAGGAGGGCCTGTCTTTGATCTATGAGCAGCTGAAAAACATTATTAACGCCGACCGCGAGTCTCACACCCACGTTTCAGTGGTGATTAGCTTCTGCCGGCATTGCGGCGACGACATTGCTGGCTTGGTACCCAGGAAGGTGAAAAGCGCGGCGGATAAATTCAACCTGAGCTTTCCGCCCAGCGAGATCATTAGCTCAGAGAAGCAGCAGCCGTTTCAAAATCTGCTGAAAGAATACTTTACGTCTTTGACCAAACATCTGAAAAGGGACCACAGGGAACTGCAAAACATCGAAAGACAAAACAGGTGAAATTGTGTCACGATCTTCGTAGTGAGAGTTCCCCAGAGGTTTTTTTTTTTTTTTAATGGATTGGGTAAGAATCCTTTTTTTATTTGTCAGAGGCAGTGTTAGTTCTCAGGTCCTGCGTTTCCATTCACAGATGGGGGGTGTGGATAGAGAAATGACCTAATGCAGGGCTTTTCAATCAGTGGCACATTGGCACCTGGCAGGTGATACGCGACCATCCTAGAAAAGTGGTAGCGGGGGAAAGGAATGAGCTGAACCAGTGGCAGCACCCACAAGCCTGAGCGAGAGATGGCTGGAGCTGCAGGGCTGTCAGGGCTCAGCGGAAGCACCAGGATCAGTGCTGCTTTCCAGCTGATCAGCGCTTCTTTGAGGCTGTCAGGGCTCAGCAGAAGCACCAGGATCAGCACCAGGCTCCAGCTGGAGCTTGGCGCTGATCCTGGCACTTCTGCTGAGCCCTGAAGAAGCACCGTTCAGCTGGAATGTTGCAGCCTCTCCAGAGTCTTGTGATTTACATTCAGATGCTTGGCAACTGATTCATATTTATGACGGTCACAGTGTCCCTGGGTCATGTGAAGTGACCAAAACCCAGCAGACGGGGGGAATAAAAACCAAACACCCCCCCACCCCACCCCTGCTGCCAATCTTCAACAGAAATGCTCACAACAATGAAAACCTCGCACAGGAGGAAGAGCACCGCGGGCAGGTGTCTTGCTCGGCTGTGCCTTGGGGGGGGGCACTTTTTTCAGTGCCACTGTAACTTTGAACAGTCACTAAGTGAGTTGTTGTAATTCAAGGACTACCTGTACTTTATCACTTTTTTCCTTTTTTTGGTCATCAAGTTTTTGACACCTTGCTAGGCGACTGGTGATAGTCGGATGTTGCCATATCTTAAAAGTGGTACAGTGGGTGAGAAGGTTGAAAAGCCCTGACCTAATGGCAGAAGCCTCTCTGGGTCTTCTTGGCAGTAAGTCCCATTGAATGCAATGCTCCTGAGTAAGTGGATGGAAGACTGTAATCTTTCCTTCATCGTCCAACTGGGTTTAAATCCATTGAGGGATTACCATCCTCAAGTGGAGCTACCTGTGCACACGCGGTCCGTTGCTAAACAAGACATTGGTTAAGGGAGCTTTGCCTCCTTTTACAACCTTTCTCGACCCAACTGTGAGGGGAATGACTGCCGTTGTTAAGGTGGCGACCCGGTTGTTAAGGGAATCTTGCTTCCCCCATTGACTTTGCTTGTCAAAAGGGGATCACGTGACCCCGGGACACGGCAACCGTCATAAATACGAATCAAGTTGCCAAGAGTCTGAATTTTGATCACATGACCGCGGGGATGCTGCAAAGGTCGTAAGTGTGAAAAGCGGTGATCTGTTACTTTTTTTTAGTCCTTCTAGTAACTTCGAACGGTCACTAAACAAACTGTTGTTGTAAGTTGAGGACTAGCTGTAGTCAATAGTAGTACAGGGCAGGAGTAGGCAACCTTGGCTCTTTTAGGACTCGTGGACTTCAACTTCCAGAATCCCTGAGGCAGCCACGCTGAGGGGAAAGGGAGAGGTTTCCAAGCTGAGCCATGCTGGCTCAGGAATTCTGGGAGTTGAAGTCCACGAGTCATAAAGCGGCCTAGGCCTAGGCCAGAGGTAGGCAACCTTGGCTCTTTTATGACTCTTGGACTTCAACTCCCAGAATTCCTGAGCCAGCCAAGCTGAGGGGAAAGGGAGAGGTTTCCAAACAGCCATACTGGCTCAGGAATTCTGGGAGTTGAAGTCCACGAGTCATAAAAGAGCCAAGGTTACCTACTTCTTTCTCTGTCTTTTTTTTTAAATTGCCGATCCTGATGCCAAACAGATGAATTCTGTAACCGATAAAAAGTTTCTATTACCGATCCTAAACAAGGTTAATCTTGCTGACAGCAACATAGCTTCCATTGGTTACTTTTATTTGTCTTTCCACTTTTTGCTTGAAACCTGACAGCACATTATTTTTACACGCCTTCGATTGGCCCGGTAAAAAGTATCGTTTTCATAGGCATTTAGTATTCTTTTTTGTTTAACAAGACTTTTTTTTTTTTTTTTTTTGCTCTTTGGAATTTGCCCGTTAGGTTCGTCTGAGATTAATGTCAGTTTTGTGTCTGTTGTACTTGCTTTCGTAAAGAAGGTGCATTGAATATTGAAACATATTCCCTACATTTATAACACAAAGCATGGAACCACAACAGCCTTTGCTCTTTATTTCGGGGCCTAAGCCCCACATATGGAGCCTTGTTTATATAATAATAATAAAGTTGGAAGGGACCTTGGAGGTCATCGAGTCCAACCCCCTGCTCAGGCAGGAAACCCTATACCATTTCAGACAAATGGCTGTCCAGTCTCTTCTTAAAAACCTCCAGTGTTGGAGCATTCACTGCTTTTGGAGGCAGGTTGTTCCACTGGTTAATTGTTCTAACTGTCAGGAAGTTTCTCCTTAATTCCAGGTTGCTTCTCTCCTTGATTAGTTTCCATCCGTTGCTTCTTGTCCTGCCTTCAGGTGCTTTGGAGGATAGCTTGACTCCCTCTTCTTTGGGGCAGCCCCTGAGATATTGGAAGACTGCTATCATGTCCCCCCTCATCCTTCTCTTCATTAAACTAGACATACCCAATTCCAGCAACCATTCCTGATATGCTTTGGCCTCCAGTCCCCTAATGATCTTTGTTAATCCCAAAGATGAAGAATTGTGTTTTCGAAGAGACTCTCCTTTTGCGTTTGCGAACAGATTGCTTTTTTTTTTGTTGGAAAGTTTTGTTGACATTCAGGCAGCACCTGCCAACTTCTTCACAGTGAGTTTATTCTCATTTTCCCATAACAAGCTGCGGTAGACAGAGTTGTACTTCTTTTTTTACACTGAAAGCCACCATCTCATATTCCTTCTTCGCTGCTCTTCGGATCTGGATTTGAACTCTGCCCAAACAGACCGCTGCTTTTAAAAACATACCAGTGTTAGAATTTAAATCAAACACCTTACCAATTTTGGAATGACTCCACCGGCGCGGTAGAGCTTTTAAATATTTAACCTTTCCCCGGAGAATGAACACGTAAGAGTTGCCACAGGTTGATTTCAACCTGGGCATTGATTCTACCCGATGTAGATGCATCTCAGGCCAAAATTGGGACGCAGGGCGCCCGTCAATGCTGTAACGTTTTCTTTCGATGGGAACTTCTGCAAAAGGGGGAAAAAATTGCTGCTGATCGGGTTGCGGGAAATCAAGTGTGGTTGTGTTCCGAAGCGTAGAGTTTCAAGAGGCAACCGGAGGCGTTGTGGTTTGTCGTTCAGATCAGCTGCCTGTCATTGGATCTGTTGTTGTTCCCTGAAACACCAGAAGGCCTTTGATGTGTGCAGCCAATATACAGTTTTGAGTCCTTCCCCTTCTGGCTCCTGAGTGCTTGTCTTCTGTGACTTAAGGGGGGGGAGCAGGCCTTCAATTGAACAGAAGGCAGTGCAGCTACTCTTGATTTACAACAGTTCGTTTGGTGACCGTTCAAAGTTACAAGGGCACTGAAAAAAAGGGACTTAGGACCGTTTTTCACACTTAGAACTATTGCAGCATCTCCCCACGGTCACGTGATCAATGTGCAGGTGCTTGGCCACTGACTCATACTTATGACGGTCGCAGTGTCCCGTGACCCCTTTTTGTGACCTGACAAGCAAAGTCAACGGGGGAAGCCGGATTCACTTAACAACGGTGCGGCTAACGTATCTCCTGCAGTCATTCCCTTAGCAATTGTGTCGAGAAAAGTTGTAAAATGTAAAACCGTTTCGCTCAGCAACAGAAAATTTGGGCTCAATTGTGGTCGTAGGTCAGGGGCTACCTGGAATGGGTGGTTAGCCTCCCATTAAGGACAAGAAATGGATACCCATTTTATTTCTGTAAACCCATTTACTACATCTGTGTTCTCTTATTTTTTTTCCCTTCTAGATACTACCTTTGCATTTTATTAATCCACCCTTTTCAATGTTTTCTGATTGAAGCCCTGCTGTAATTTTTCATTCCAGATATTTTAACCTATTGAGTTCCACAACAGTGAATTAGTTCTATTTAGGAATAGAATAGAATAGAATAGAATAGAATAGAATAGAATAGAATAGAATAGAATAGAATTGAATTGAATTGAATTGAATTGAATTGAATTGAATTGAATTGAATTGAATTGAATTGAATTTATTTATTTATTTTATTTATTTATGAGACTTATATACCGCTTTAAGTGCAAGCACTCTCTAAGCGGTGTACACCAGTAAGCAATGTATATATATATTTACATTGCCCCCAACAATCTGGGTCCTCATTTTACCTACCCCGGAAGGATGGAAGGCTGAGTCAACCTTCAGCCGGTGAGATTTGAACTGCTGACCTGCTGAACACAGTCAGCTAAAGTGGCCTGCAGTACTGCACTCGAACTGCTGCGCCACCTCGGAATAAGGAGTAGAATAGAATACGGAATAGAATAGAATAGAATAGAATAGAATAGAATAGAATAAGGAACAGAATAAGGAACAGAATAAGGAATAGAATAGGAATAAAATAGAAATAGAACAGAATATAGAATATAGGATAAGATAGGATAGGATAGAATAGAGGTCTTCTAGTCCATCCCCCTGCTCAAGCAGGACAATCTGTAACAATGATGGCGAACATTTTAGAGACCGAGTGCCCAAAAACTGGCCCCGCCCCTGCTCCACTCCCTGCCCCACCCCAGCTCTGCCCCTGCTCCGCCTGCCCGCAGGGCCACTCACCACCTCCAGGGCCCGCCACAGATCGCCCAGCAACGCCATGGTGGTGACGCCCTCTGCCCACGCCCTGCAGCATCAACTGTGCACGATGAGGCATGAGGGCAGAGTCTTGTCTACTCTGGCTGCCATGTCCTTGGCTGCACTGCTCTGCATGGGCCACACTTGGGGGTGACTGTCCTCTAGGGGGGCTGCTGGTGAGGAGGGGGTCACGGGAGGCTGAGGCAACAGCACGTGTGCCCACAGAGAGGGCTCCGAGTGCCGCCTCTGGCACCCGTGCCATAGGTTCGCCACCACTGACCTGTACCATCTCAGACAGATGACTGTCTAGCCTCTTCTTAAAAATCTCCATGATTTCTGGAGGGAAGCTGTTCCACTGGTTGATTGTCCTCACTGTCAGGAAGTTTCTCCTTAATTCCAAGTTGCTTCTCTCTTTGGTCAGTTTCCAACCATTGTTTCTTGTCCTTCCCTCTGGTGCTTTGGAGAATAATTTGGTGGCAGCCCCTCAAATACTGGAACACTGCTATCATGTCTTCCCTATATCTTCTTTTCTTTAGACTAGTGAAGCCCAATTGTCACTTCAGTTATGTCTAGTATTGCTGTACAGGCAATCTTCGACATACGACCATAATATTACTACTCCTAGTGATAATATTTGAATGGTCATGTGTATAACTGCCTTTATAATATAAGTTATTTCATGCATTCATTTGGTTCTAGTTCGGAGGTGCCTTTGTCCTTTGCAATAACTTACCAATAGCGTTGAAACAAACTGGAGGACAAAACAAAGGATATTGTACGCTTTTATATTGCAAGACTATAAGATTAGAAGCATCTCTCTTTTTTTTTTCAATGGTTTGAATCACTCATTTATATTTGAACCAGCATTTTACTTCCAGAAATTACGCTTGAGAACTGTTTAGAGATTTGGGCTGCATTTACTAGTTTGTTTTGTTTTCTCCGTGTGAACTGGCATAAATATTAATAATTACATTGTATAAAGTATATATATATAAATATGCATGCAGATGCATGCACAAATGTACATCTACAGGTAGTCCTCGACTTACGATCACAACTGAGCCCAACATTTTTGTTGCTAAGCAGGATATTTTTTAAGTGAGTTTTGCCCCATTTTATGACCTTTCTTGCCACAGTTGATAAGTGAATCCCTGCGGTTGTTAAGTGAGTCACACGGTTGTTAAGTGAATCTGGTTTTCCCCATTGACTTTGCTTGTCAGAAGGTCACAAAAGGGGATCACATGACCCTGGGACACTGCGACCGTCATAAATATGAGTCAGTTGCCAAGCCTCTTGAGTTTTGATCACGTGACCATAGGGATGCTGCAACGGTCGTAAGTGTGAAAAATGGTTATAAGTCACTTTTTTCAGTGCCGTTGTAACTTTGAACCATTGTTAAACAAACAGTTGTAAGTCGATGATTCCCTATAGTTTGTTTGAAATGGAAAACCAATATCTGTTGTATAAAGACTGAATATATTTTGGTATGTGTTCCGTATTTTATAGTTGAATATTTATTGGCCAATGTTTTTTTATGCATTTCGCTCTTCTTCTTCTTCTTCTTCTTCCTCTTCTTCTTCTTCTTCTTCTTCTTCTTCTTCTTCTTCTTCTTCTTCTTCTTCTTCTTCTTCTTCTTCTTCTTCTCCTCCTCCTCCTCCTCCTCCTCCTCCTCCTCCTCCTCCTCCTCCTCCCTCCCTTCCTTTCCTCCTCCTCCTCCCTCCCTCCCTCCCTTCCTTCCTTCCTCCCTCCCTCCCTCCCTCCCTTCCTTCCTTCCTTCCTTCCTTCCTTCCTTCCTTCCTTCTTTTCCTCCTCCTCCTCCTTCCCTCACTTCTTCCTTCCCTCCCTCCCTACCTCCTTTCCTCCTCCTCCTCCTCCTCCTCTTCAACTACTTTTCATAGCTTGTTTTATAGTTAGCTTTGGTATTAAATGTTGTCAAAGTCCTTTCATCTTGCCTTTTTTTTTTTTGATTGCATGTGCTTTTCTAGGCGTATTCTGCATTCTAAAGGGGAATTGAGTGAAGATCGGCATAAGCAATATGAAGAATTTGCTATGTCTTATCAGAAGCTATTGGCAAACTCTCAATCTTTAGCTGATCTCCTCGACGAAAATATGCCAGATCTCCCTCAAGACAAACCGGTGCCAGAAGGTATGTAAATAATGCAGTTTTAAAATTCGACAAGGTCTATTGCCTTCTTTTCAAATAGTAAATCCTTGCCGACTCTGAACGTTCCCCCGCTGATTTTGTTCCCAGTTTATATCTTTCCGCCTTGAAGTAGGAAGTTCATAACTGAAATGCCGACTTCATTGAAATATTTGATGCTTTTTGTATGTTTAAATTGCAGAACATGGTCCTGGAATTGATATTTTTACCCCTGGCAAAACTGGCGAATATGATTTGGAGGGTGGAATCTGGGAAGACGAAGATGCCAGAAATTTCTACGAGAACCTTATCGATTTAAAAGCGTTTGTGCCGGCTATCTTGTTTAAAGACAATGAAAAATGTTCTCAGACCAAAGATTCTGGGAGAGACGACTCGAGAGGTGCAGTATTTGGTTTTATCTAACTGAGATTACGTCACGGAGAGGGAGGTGGATTTTTATTCTGAGCTGTGATTAGGGTTCGAATGGCTAGCCTAGCTTAGGGGGATGTGCAGGTTTTCTCACTTTATTAACTCTGACTATATTAGCACACCATAATGAATCATAGAATACGTTAATAGTGGCTCAATGCACAATAAGAAATCATAGATACATTAATACTGGATTGCATTCAGCTAAGAAACCATGATTTCTTTGCCGTTCCTTGTTAAATTGTAATAACTCTTGCAAGTCATGGCACCTGCTTGCAACCATGGAACTTAAAGTAGTGGCCAAAATCGTGGAAACCTTTTGGGAAAAGTGTACAGTAGAAATGCCACCTTTGGTTAAGTTTCCACCCATTTTTCTTCTAATTTCTTTATAACTGTAGCCTTGTTCACTTAATAATACTATTTTACATCGCTTTCTGGGCAAGCAGTCAACTCTTTGCACCATTGCTTTAATTTTATGATGTTTTACAAGCTCACTAAATGAAAGAACACAAAAAAACCCCAACCAACTTGATAGCGATCACATAACACACTGACACATGTCCTCCTCTCAGCTTCAATACATGACATCGATAACTGAATCCTACTGTGATCTGATTGGCTCATTGCCAAAACAAGATGACACCCGATTGGCTCTCTAAACACTCATGCTCATTGGCTACAATCAGATGAAGGAAAGCTACCTGAGATCCACCTAAGCAAGTTGTGCTTCCTTTTTCTGATTATTTGGCTGTAACTTTTCATAGAATACAGTGCAGATAATTGAACCAACTTTGTTGCATTACATTCTCGATTAAATTATCTTTCCATTGATATATAATTTTATGGTACTACTCCCCCCCCCCAAAAAAAAGTGGTGTTATTAGCCATTAAACCTCAAAAGTACAATTTTCCCAAAAGGTTTCCACAATTTTGGCCACTACTGTAGCTGTAGAAATCTGTTTTGAAAAACGCTGCAGGAATTCTTTGGAAATCTGGGAATATTTTGAGCCAAAGTAAAGAGGGTGAATTTCCTAACCATTTTTCCTCCCACTTTGTTTTTTAGCTGTCCAGTTCAATGATATGCAGAAAGAAATCAAAGATAAACAAAAGTATACAAGATAAATAACACCATAAGCAAGCCAGATTCCGTAAAACAACAATAGGCTTGTGGCATATACCTAAGTAGGGGTAATTTTGAATGGATTTGAACAAATTACGGTGTAGCTTAATACTATGTATAAATGTGATCTTTGCCAATGTTCAATTGTTATGTTAAAATAGTAACAGGTTTTTATCTTCTGGCAGGAATAGGAAAAATGCTTCAAACTTCTTTATTAAAAAAAATGAAAATGTCTAAGCCTTAGGGACCAGATAAATGGTTTTATTATTTCGTCTGTATCTCTCTGCTTTTATACTTTCATCAGAAAAATACAGAGATCGATATATGTTATTTGGAGGGCAGTGTAATATGTGGATCTAATTCTTTTTGAAATAGAAGTAAAAGAAACTAAGGAAAACAAAGATATAGCCGGCACTGAAGATCTAGAACTGGAACTAGAAAATTTGGATATTAATGATGAGACCCTTGATTTAGATTGTGGGGATGAAGCAGAAGATCTCACAAAAAAACTCCTTGACGAACAAGGTAAAAAGGACGTGGAAAAGTTTGTTATTCTTATTCATTGGTAGAAATGGATTTAAACAGTAGGCATGCCCTTTTAATAATATGGATAGTCTTGTGGATGTGTTATATATACTTACTACATACATACATACATACATACATACACTGCTCAAAAAAATAAAGGGAACACAAATGTATAGGATCCTATACATTTGTGTTCCCTTCAGTTTTTTGAGATTGTATGTCTGTCTGTCTGTCTTTGGTTATTCGGGTTTTCTCCCGCATAAAATTGGAAGTGTCTTGGCGACGTTTTGACAAAGTCCCTTTCGTCATCTTCAGGCTGGTGTTTTCGGCTTCGTGCTTCTAGGAGCAATGTGTGATCGTAGCTGTTTCTTCCTTTTAACTGCCTGGCACACATTGCTCCTAGAAGCACGAAGCCGAAAACACCAGCCTGAAGATGACGAATGGGACTTCATCGAAACGTCGCCAAGACACTTCCAATTTTACATGGGAGAAAACCCGAATAACCAAAGACCTACATACAAACACCCGCGAAAACCTCAGAAAACATACACACACACACACACACACACACACTTTTAGGTTGCTTGCAAGGTTAAGTTGCAGTATCACTTTGTGTGCGTGTGTGTGTGTGTGTGTGTGTGTGTCAGTAATACCACAATTTAACCTTGGAAGCAACCTAGAAGTAAGGAGAAATTTCCTAACAGTGAGAACAATGAAGAAGTGGAATGGCTTGCCTCCAGAAATTGTAGGTGCTTCATCACTGGAAGTTTTAAAGAAAAGACTGGGCTACATTTGTCTAAAATGGCATAGGGTCTCTTGCTTGAGCTGAGGGTTGGACTAGAAGACCCCTCCCCCCAAGGTCCCTTCCAACTCTGTTATTCTGTTAACCATTTTCCTGTATGTGGGACCAGTAAATATCCTCTTGACAAAGAGTTGGATCATGATGAAAAGGTAACATCTCTTCTGCTTTGTGTGGGAGTGGACACCTGTTTGATGATTGTATCATAGAACAGTAAGTCATTTTTCCATTGAAAACATTGGCCAATAATTGTCTCAAGCAATAGGGAAAACAAACAGTGTTTGTTTGTTTGCTTTCATTGAAACAAAATCACTTTTTCCTATTGAGATAACTGGTTGCTCACAGCCAACGGCTTTAGTGTCAGATTTCTGATGTCTGTACGCATCACATTTAACACTTGCATGTCGAAGAAAGTAAATGTGATATTTTAGGCATAGCTAACTCTTCAATAAAATCCCCATTAACATTTTTAACCCAGACAAGTGTCAGCCCTCGATCAGCCTAATGGAGGATTAGTAATTGTGGACTCACTTTCTAATCTTGCTTCAGTCACATGCTTTAAAAGAGGAATATGAAATGCATTGTCACTTACCTCACCGGATTATCAGGGTGAATGAGATGGCTTGTAAAGCACTTTGTATGATTAAAGGCACATGTAATGGGACACATTGTCTAGCTTGTGAGAAAGATGAGTCATTTATATGAACATGAGAAGTATTAATCCGTTTTTGTTTAGTGAATTTCCTTTGCAATTGTAAGCAAGTTGAATAATAAGCGTAAATATTTCCCTTGTCCATGATGAGATCAATTATTCTAATTTGACAGAACAATTAATGAATGGAACGACTTGCCTCCAGAAGTTGTGGGTGTTCCAACACTGGAGGCTTTTTAAGAAGATAGCCATTTGTCCAGAATGGTATAGGGCAGTGGTGGCGAACCTTTTAGAGACCGAGTGCCCAAAAACTGGCCCCAACCCTGCCCCCCCATCCCCTGCCCTGCTTGCCCGCAGGGCCACTCACCGCTTCCAGGGCCCGCCACAGATCACAGACATGGCAGCCCAGCAGCGCTATGGCGGTCACGCCTTCTGCCCGCGCCCTGCAGCATCAACTGTGCACGATGGGGTGTGAAGGCAGAGTCTTGTCTACACTGCCTGGCTGCCATGTCCTTGGCTGCGCTGCTCCGCGTGGGCCACGCTCAGGGGCGACTCTCCTTCAGGGGGGCTGCTGGAGAGGAGGGGGTCCTGGGGAGAGGCGAGGCTGGGGCAACGGCACGTGTGCTCCCAGAGAGGGCTCCGAGCGCCGCCTCTGGCACCCGTGCTGTAGGTTCGCCACCACTGGTATAGGGTTTCCTGTCTGAGCAGGAACTAGAAGACCTCCAAGGTCCCTTACAACTCTGTTATCCTGTTAATTTCTTTCTCTCATTCACTTTCTGAAATATGCTTTTTCTTTTATCTAGTTCAGTGGTTCTCAACCTTTTTAATGCCGCGACCCCCCCCAACCGGTCATAAGTCGAGGACTACTCAACCGGTCGTAAGTCGAGGACTACTCAACTGGTGCAGCACCGTTTGCAGAATGGGACTTTTGGCGGGCTCAGCAGGGCAGAGACAGCCTGGACAATTCCTATTGGCTTTTGAAAGCCAATAGAATTAGACTCTATTCAAGAGAGTCTATTCTATTGGCTTTCAAAAGCCAATAGAATAAAAGGGAGTAGCACAGCTAAGGAAAAGGGGGGGGGGAAATGACGGACTGCGTTGTTTGGCGACCCCCGTGAAATGGTCGTTCGACCCCAAATGGGGTCCCGACCCACAGGTTGAGAACCACTGATCTAGTTTATAGTGGCATCAAATATAAATATCACAACGGCATCCAATATACCCATTCTTCATGCCCCCAAGTAGCATTTAAAATAAGTCACTGTATATACTTCTGTCCTAATAAGTAAGATAGTCCTGGAGAGTTAACGTGTACCAAAAGGCAAACAGGCAATTAAGTACTAAGTTGTTCGTAATGAAGGTTTGCTTCTGGGCAATGTGTAAAAATATTTTTCTATTTTTAACACGATTAGGCAAGAAACAGGGAGCAGATAGCACCGGAGCTGAAAATAGTGACGGAAAGCAAGCTGCAAGAAGTGAGTTTTGAGGTGGTACTAAGAAGGAGAAAGTGTTTTGAAGTAGATAAGCTTATAAGGGGCAGGGACTAGATAGAAATTCCAGGAAGAAAACAAATTATCTGTAAGCCGAAAAGTGGCAGAAATATACGCAATAGGACTTTTCTAGGAACACACAGAGAAATGATCTAAGATGGATATTCTTTGCACTAGTTTCCTCAGTAGACGATAGAAAAAAAATAATGTAGGTTCTTTCTGGTTGATGAGTTTCAGCTCAGTGTGGTGAGCTTAAATTTTTAGGCTTTCTGGTTGAACTTTTAAGTACATGTATGGATGTATTTCTCTGAGCTGGCATCGTAACTAATTTAGAACACAACAGTAATAGCACACTAGCCAACGTGTAGAAAAAGCGTTCTTCAGCTTCAGGAACATTTCTTCATCCAATAAATTTCTCAGATATCTTCCGTAAGTAATGAAAACAAGGGATACTAACTGTATTTAACTTGCCTTTTAGTTAACAGTTGTTTAATTTGAGTTCATCGTTGCAGTCACTTCAACTCAGTGACTCTCTCTTGAGTTAGGAAAATATTTTCACCACTGTTTAGTCAGCTTAGACCAGTGTTTCTCAACCTTGACCATTTTAAGGCATGTGGACTTCAACTCCCAGAATTCCACAGCCAGCAATGCTGGCTGTGGAATTCTGGGAGTTGAAGTCCACATGCCTTAAAACGGTCAAGGTTGAGAAACACTGGCGTAGACTCTATGATGTCTCTGGAGATTCTCAATCATCCAGGTCATGGTGGCCCCAAAGGCCACTGGACTTGGTTTTTCTTCATCCAAGAAGCTTCTTCAGCTCTGATTGAATGGTGGACGTAAGGATTTATATTCCTTGCAATCATCTGGTCGTTAGTACTCTCTCTGAGAGTCGTTGAGCCCACTTGGAGGTTTATCTGTGCCCTCAGGGTCATCTGAACAGTGCCAACCTTCTTGGAACACGGTCCTTTCGCTGGAAGGGATTCCTCCCCCCCCCTACCTTTAAATGAGTTGAGATCCAAAAGGATCCCAGTATCTATGGGGAATTTTGTCAGGGAGGGTAATTGAATTTAAAGATAGCCAATTATCTAAAGATAATCCCATTGGTGGATTCTCCATCTCCGTACTGAGAAAAGGCGTTCAGGTAAGACCAACGCCCCTTTCAGCAGTTCCAAGAAGGTTCCACACCCATTTGCACTATTCAGGTGTCCCTGAGGGCACAGCTAAACCCCCAAGTGGCCTCAACAACCCTTAGAAAGAGTACTGACAACCAGATGACTGCAAGGAATATAAATCTTTCCATTCCCCTACTATTCAGTCAGAACTGAAGAGGCTTTCTGGATGAGAAGTGAAACATCTTCAAGAGAAAAAAAAAACAAGTTCAGTGGCCTTTTGAAAAAGCACCTTTGGAATAGGCTGTGTGAATGCTTTGATACGAAACAGATGACTAAGAGCTGCAGGATTTCTCTGAAACCTTGAGGAATTTGGGATGTGTGTGACTCTTTCCTCAGAATGAGCTAGAATGGGAAATAGGGGATAAAAAGTAAAATTGGGATCCTGTCCTAAAACAAAGTCAGAATTAACAGACACACTTTCCTGTACCAGGATGCACTTTAAACCCTGAAGTGCATGTACTGCCTTATTTCATTGGTTGGCAAACGGAAGTGTGACTTGATAGAACTAGATCCTCTCATATCAAGAGAATCAGCGCAATAGATCAACCTGAAATTATGGAATCAATTAACGCTTCCTGAAATGAGTATCTAGCCATCTTCCCTTGGTATAAATTTATGCCAACGAGCTGTGTAGTACACAGATATATCTCAGTGAAAATCAACTCTCTGGCTAGTCTACGAGTGCAAATTTCTATCTAAACAAGAGGTTGAAAAACACATGCTCTCTTTATTGGCTATAAAATGCTGTTAGGGTAGCCTTAAGTAATTGGAATTTATTTATTTAGCGTGTGGCATACAATGTCAGGGAAATCTACAAACGTTAGACACAACGCAGCGTAAACTGTTAGTTCATTCTGTTCAGCACTTGTGTGCTTGGTGCATCACAGGAGGTGAAGTAGCTTTAAACCAATTAGCAGCACTTGCGTTGCTGGCTATTCCGGGCTCCTCCACCAGTCTCCCCTCCCCTTGTGTTGCGTTGCTTCGTGTCCAGCGTCCCCTTTGCCAGATCCAGCAGCATCTTCTACTTTCTGCAGCTAGGTTTTTTTGCTACCCATTTATCTACTTGCAGCATTGCATGCTTTCAAGCTGCTGGGTAGACAGGATTCGGGGAGCGGCGAGCAGCAGGAGTTCACCCTGTCTCATGGAGCCGGACTCGAACCGCTGGAGTGCAGATCATTTCTGGCTGGCAGTCCCAGTATCCTTAAGCCGCTGCGCCACTAGGTGGTTGGGAATATGCCAACCACATTTCAAATTAAAAGATTTAGTAGGAGAAACGATCTACTACCAAGTAGTCAAAATACATACAAGGAAAGAGGAGAAATCCGAGGGTAAGATCCATGGTGAAGGAAGGGAAATAATAATAGTATTTATTGTTGGATGTAGCCCTTTTAAAGTGCAAAGTGCTTTACAGTTGTTAGCTTGAATTCCCGTGCAAAGGACCCTGGGGGTGACAGGCTCCTCCATACGAGGAGTTTGCGGAATGTGAGAATATTCTCCTTGTGGAACATCAACCAAGCAATGGATGAAGACACTAAACTGGGGATTTAATAAGGGACCTACAAGTCTATTTTACAGATTCCCTAAAATGTTTGTGTTACATCCTTGATTTCTTCTACAAGAGGAAAAAAGGAACCCAATCCATGGTCACTTTGTCTTCATCTATCACAGTTTTTCTCAGCCTTGACTATTTTAAGCCATGTGGACTTCAACTCCCAGAATTCCACAGCCAGCAATGCTGGCTGTGGAATTCTGGGAGTTGAAGTCCACATGGCTTAAAATGGTCAAGGTTGAGAAACACTGATCTATGAGTTCCTTTCAAATTACATTTACATGTGCATTTTGCCCTGTGTCTCTTCTTAGGGGTCATTGCATTAATTTTCCATTCTCTTTTACTAATGTCCTATCTGTTTCTCTGTTTTGTTTTTTCCACTTGCTTTTAAGGCTGTACTAGGTATTAACTGTTTTTTTTTTCCCTGCTGAAAAAAAAATCACTTGCTTATGGGGATTATGTCATTCTTGGAGAACATATTTTTTTAAAAAATGTTACATTTTAGTTGTTTGTCTGGTTTTGGCTTATCTCTCTCTTTTTTTAATGCTTGATTAGAACAAGAAGATGAAGAAACCAGCACCGGATCACACCTAAAACTTATAGTTGATGCTTTCCTTCAACAGCTCCCAAATTGTGTAAATAGAGACCTAATAGACAAGGTAAAATGGCTATCTAATATTTCTTTTTTCTTTTTCTTTTTTTTAAATTTTATTTTATTCAAATACAAATAATACAAACATAACACATATAAATCTAAATAAAAAACAGTATTAAAAATACAAATACTACAGTACACCCACACCCCTGGAGACCATTTTTATTACCTATATTTCTTCTCATATATAACAACTAACTATATATAATATATTTCAATTGTGCCTTTATCCCCTCCAAAACAGCATGTATTCTTTTTTTTTCTCTTCCATACTTATATATAACGAAACACTTTTATTCCATAATACATACTTTTGTTCAAAGCTTAGCATTTCCAGTTGTTGCTGGGTTAATGCAAACTGACCTTAATTTCGTCATAAGGATTATGATAAGCATGTATTCTTGAGCAGGTTTATTCCCTTTGCCTTCCACCAAGACTGTTTTTACAAAACCATCCCATATTTCATTATCATTATTTACTTTAATCATCCCTTTTTTAAATTTAAATTTCTGTTGTTAATTTGCCATTTGTTGCCATATTCCATATTTCATTATACCACTCATTTCTTTGATATCCCAATTCCATCTCCAATATTTACCATCACTAATCTAGCTGCCATTATCAGATTTACAATCAGTTTCCTTTTTTGCTTCATTTATATCTTGTTTTTCCACCTGTAACAGTAAGCTATCTAGTATTTCTAACGGCTATTTCTACACAACAAAATTTTCTTGATGCGGGTAGTCGTTGACTTACAACCAGAATTGAGCCCGACATTTCTGTGGCTGAGACACTGATTTAAATGAATTTTGCCCCATTTTAGGACTTTTCTTGCCATAGTTGTTAAGTGAATCTCTGTACTTATTAAATTACCAACACCGTCGTTAAGCGAATCTGGCTCCGCCCTCCCCCCCGTTGACTTTGCTTATCAGGCGGTCGCATAAGGGGATCACATGACCCCAGGACACTGTGACCAGTGTCATAAATGTGAGTCAGTTGCCATAGGTCTGAATTTGATCACGTGACCCTGGGGTGGCTGCAAGGCTCTCAAGTGTGAAAAACGCTCATAAAGTCACTTTTTTCAGGGCCGTTGTAACTTTGAACGGCCACTAAATGAACTGTTGTAAGTGGAGGACTAGCTGCATTGCACTCTGACCCCTTTGATCTCCCCCAAATGCAGGAAACTTGGGAGGCTTGTTAAAGCTGCTCTAACAATGAATTTAAGTGGGTTTTAAGAACTCACGAATGTGAAACTCAGGTGGAGAAAAGGCATCTAAAATTTGGTTTACTAACAGATGAAAAAAATATATGATTCTGTAGGCTGCTCTCAGCCAGAAACCACTTGTTCTTCTCCAACACATAACTGGAATGTGGTAGCAATGATCAGAAACTGAAATTTATTATTATTTTCCTTGGTTCCTTGCTTCAAACTCGGATTTCAAGCCTTCTCTTCCTTCCGCAGGCAGCAATGGATTTTTGCATGAATATGAACACCAAGGCTAACAGAAGGAAGTTAGTCCGTGCCCTTTTCATAGTTCCTCGGCAGAGGTAAGCATCGACATAAATGTTGCCCTTAAAGTTGGGTCTGAGATCTGAAGAAACACGTGGGAAGTCGCATTTGGTCTAGAACAGCAAATTTTTCCCCATCAGCGTTCTTCAGATTTTAAAATCCATTAATACGCAAAAATGGGAGATTCATTTATTTACTTCCTACACCGCCCCTCTCACCTACGTGACTCTGGATGGTTTACAACCTCATCCCAAAACCGTACAAATACACGATATAAAAGCATAATTTTTTTTAAAAAAAATGTTTTGTTTTGGGATTGTTGTTTGCGACAGACTCGTCTAAAACTTTGTTAAAAATAAATTTGAAACAGCCATTGGATTGTTTAGATCAGGGGTAGGCAACCTTGGCTCTTTTATG